TATATATATATATATCGATTAGGAAAAATAAATAATATTGATCTGACTAGGTATTTCTATAAAGATTTCAACTAAGTTCCCATGACATGTTTACGTAGGATTGAGCTTATTATATTTATAATGTAAAGAACTTTTACGATATCTATTGAAGTAGAAGCATCTCATCTAAAAGTATTTGTTAGAAAGAGTACATTTTTTTTACTTTAAACCTCAATTACGTCCATGACGTGCATGTGAGCTCCATTTTTTGTGATGAGGTAGGGTTTTTTTTTATTTTTATGGACGGTGGTGAGACTCAATCTCAATATCTTTTGGATCTTCTAATACCATATTGAATAAGTGAACACCAAATTTAATGAAAGCTTAAACTTTAAAAATTAATGAGATGGTCATAATACACTCCAATAATATCAATGAATCTTATCTTGTTAAACATGTAACATGCCTTATATATATATTCACGTATATTCTACGTGAGATAGTTACACACTTCAATATGTATGCGAGTTGATAAATTTATGGATTATAGTCTAACCACTATCCATTAGGAGAAAAAAATTATGTGCTTGATTTATGAAAAATAATCAGTCCAACACATCGTATATCATTATTTCAATAAAAATAATAATTTATACTATCAGTATATAAAAGTGAGAGAATCTTACTCAGAAGGAACATAGTAGTTTGGCCATTTCTGTCTGATCTTGTTAGCAACATCGTGTATGGTAGCATGATGAGAAGACCAAAGGTATCTTCCTTGTGCCTTTGGATGCTTATACAAGAATATGTGAGCCTCACAAACATCATCCAAATGCACATATTTACCTTGTTTTATAATTGAGTAGTGTGCTTCATTCCTTGTATATAGCCGCTCATCAAAATAATAGTCAGTACGTATAATATTTTTATTCGACCAACTAAACATGTATGTAACTTGCCCTTTTGTTAATTTGTAATCTGTCCTGTTTAATTTTACCAATACTTAAAGAATTTTTGTGTTAATAGCTACTTAAAGATAACAAATTAAATATATGAATATTGCAAAAAAATTGTTACGAACAGTATATATAACTTAA